ATATATATATATATATATATATATATATATATATATATATATATTTCAATATATTGATAGTACAATTTCTAGCACAAATGCCAACATTTGCTCATGTTGTCTCCAACCAATATTAGATTCTACTATAAACACCTTTGTAGACTACACTTTACTGTTGGATTTTTTGGCTTAATGGTGAATCTAAAGCACCAACAAAATATTGTTATCAGAAAACACAGATCGGCTGTGTAAGGTAAGCAAGATAAAAAGACAACACAGGAATGCCTGCACATACACATATAAAAGCAAAGTCAAGCTCTTAGCTCTTACTCAGCTTTGTCACTAATGAGTACTATGAGTTAACCTTTAACCAAATCACATCTCTAAATCACGTTTCTCAGCTGACTACCCAGAGATACTGACATGCCTTTAGGGTGACGTCAAGATCGATAAATGAAAATGCTCAAACAAAACACCCACCCCACACTGATAAAGCCAGTGCAATATTAATTTGGTTTTTCTCTATGAATAGTCTCCATGGTGACATGACAGCAGTGGAGTTTCAGTGTACGCACACTGTTCAGTTGGGTTTTTCCTCAATACAAATGTGACGTAGTTTAGTCTGTTTAAAGAAAAGGACAATTTGTACTTTCACTTGATTTGACTTGAATCAAAACTGTTCTCATTTACTCACATAGATTCCTTGTCTTATAGTAAACGATTCATCAAGAAGACAATGTCATTGTAATCTTCATCAAAATGTAACAATTCCTATAAAAGGATTAAATAACTGTCCCACTTTGTACTTGTGGTCACTGGCTCCATTTCACTTCCTCTATGGGCTTGTAACAGAACATGATTGAAATACCCAACCTCCAACCAGAGTCTCTGAGGCCCCGCATGCTCTGCTGAAGCCTTATCAGCAGACCTGCAGGTAGACATAATGGGGTGAGGTGGCTTGGGATGGGAAGTCAGAGAGGTAATGAACTCTCTCCCCCCTAGTCTGAGTGACCTTGGATAATACAGGCAAAGTCTGACCTTCCAGCATGTGTGTGTGTGCCACCTAAAGTAAGGGGCTTATTAAAAACGCAGCAGGCGGAGGTCTTGCTCCAGTGCCAGAAGCACAGTCTGCTGTTCGTTACAACCCCCAGGAATGAGTAAGTAGTTTAATTCTCTGGTGCTTCAATGGAAAACAAATGTCTTATTTGTTTTGCGGAATAGGCTGAGCGAGGAGAAAAGAACGATATATCTGATCCATTTCAAATTGCATGAGTACTTGTCAGGCTTTGTCTGACGGGAACAGATAGAAGATGGTTTGAATAGGGGGTGAGATAAGAAATTAAGTGAGGACACTGACCCAGGTCATTGAGATTGCAGTACGCTCTCCATTCTGAATTGTTCCTGTCTCCTTTCTAAAAGGGAAAAAAGACAAAAAACATCAAAGACAATGAAAGATCATTACCCCGATAGCCTTGATGAAACAGTGTAATGCAGGGATTCGTGACCTTTTTTGGTCTGCGACCTATTTTATATGTTCTGAAGTTGAAACCAATTGAATTAAGATTTGTCTTACAAGCATGATTACCTAACTAGAAAATTATATTTTCAAGAACAACAACACATTTTATAATGCAGTTTTATTGTTATTGGCTCTGTCGTATTGGTACTAATCCTGTCTAATGTATACTGCTGTTTAAAAGTTTGTGGTCAGTAAGATCTGAATGTTTTTGAAAGTCTCTTACACTCACCAAGGTTGCATTTATTTGATCGCACTTATGCTCACCAAGGCTGCATTTATTTAAACATAAATAAATAAATAAATAAATAAATCAAAATACATAATAATATTGTGAAATATTACAATTTGAAAGAAGAGTTTTCTATTTCAATATATTTTAAAACTGCATTTTTCCAGTCTTCAGTTTCACATGATCCTTGAGAAATTATTCTAATGTGATAATTTGGCGCTAAAGAAATATCTTTTATAATTATCAATGCTGAAAACAACTGTGCTTCTTAATATCTTTATGGAAACTCATACATTTTTTGAGCATTCTTTAATGAACAGAATTTACTTGAAACAGAAATCTTTGTAGCATTATAGATGTCTTCACTGTCACTTTTGATTAATTTAATGCATCCTTGTTGAATAAAAGTATTCATTTCTTAAAAAAGGGCCATGTTGTTGCATGTTTTTATGTAATATTCTAAGCACAAGAGCAGCTACTATGGCCATACAAATGATGCTTGAAAAAAATATTGTTTATCTGTCGAACCATCATGGAGTTGCGACCTCAAGGATGTGAACCTCGCTGTAATGCAAATGTGTCTATGTCCTGACCTTAAGAGCGAGAGTGCCGTCCAGGTTGTTTGTGATGGTGGATGAGATGTTGCACTGTGCCACAGTGTGGTAGCTGGGATTGGAGAAGCACTGGCCACCACTGCTGCTCTGAGACGTTTCTAAGGAAGAGAGCAAGGCAAAAGTATTCATAACTTCTGCATACCACAGTGTACAAGTTTACTAAACTCCTGTCTGATAATGCATGACATTCTGTTCCTGCAATAACAGAGTAGAAGAGGGCAGTTTAATGGACCGAAGTTCATGACACTTAATGGAATTGGTCAAGCCATTTATAGCCACATCATCAAAACTAGCCCATGCAGATGGGATAAAAAAGTGATCATAAATATGCAGTATTTTTACATGATTGAATACTTTGCAATACAGCACTGTGATAACAATAATACAGTGCTGATACTGTTACTTTTACTTCCAGTTACTGAACAGACAAAAATGCCACTACACACCTTTCAAAAAGATGTACTATATAAGTCACCAAACATTCATGGAGCATCTGAAGTTGTTCATAGTAGCTTATTCAATATTTGATTATCTGATGATTAGTCTCAAAGGAGGTTCTCACCAGAGAGGGAGTAGTCAGTGTTGGTGACACGCAGGGCTGGGGTGTACGAGACACTGGGCATTTCCTGGCCTTTGTCTCTCTGTCTCTGCCTGAACCAAACAAACAAGCTGAGCATGGCCATGATGATCAGCAGCAGGAAGATGATGCCCATCACAGCGCCTGCGGACTGCCGCTCTGAACCCAGAGAAGGACTGATCTTAGTATAGGGGTTCAGCTCCTCCATCACTAGAGCCGCTAGGACACAGAATATGATTATAGATCGGGTACAATAGAATTCTCAGGTACAATAGAATTATTTTGTGAGGAAAACGGGAGTGGTGCATCATGCAGTGGTCTGGGTGGTTGCCAGGGCATTACTATGCAGTTGCTAAGAGTCTGAGTGTTTGTTAGTGTGTTGCTATGCAGTTGCTAGGGTTTCCTATGTGGTTGCTAAGGGTTTGAGTGGGTGTTAATAGATGCACAAATCGCGTACTTATGCACTATTCTATTACGGTTTGTAGTATAAATAGTGCAAGTAATGTGTTCACACTGAAAATTCCAAAAAGAAAAAGTGCACACCCAGATGATGCACTTAAATAACCAGAAAAACAACGAAGTGTGGAATGTTGTACACTTCATGCACTCAAATGTTGCAGCTGAGGGGCTATCAGATTCCACAATAACCTTATAAAATTCATGCACTACATGGTTGAGTACATGGTGCATAAGTACATAGTGTATAAGTGCACAGTGTATAGTGTGTCATGTGGGACGCAGTTAGTGTGTTTTTATGCAGTTGCTAGTGTGTTGCTATTTAGTTGTTAAGGTGTCCTATGTAGTTGCTAAGAGTCTGAGTGGTTGTTGATGTATTGCTATGTAGTTGCTAGGGTGTTCTATGTGGTTGCTAATGGTTTGAGTGGTTGTTAGTGTATTGCTATGTAGTTGCTTGGGTGTTCTATGTGATTGCTAATGGTTTGAGTGGGTTTTAGTGTGTTGCTATTTAGTTGTTAAGGTGTTCTATGCAGTTGCTAAGGGTCTGAATGGTTGTTAGTGTGTTGCTATGTGGTTTCTAGGTTGTTCTATGTGGCTGTACAAATTCTGAGTGGTTGTTAATGTGTTGCTATGTAGTTGCTAGCGCCTTGCTATGTGGTTACTTAGAGGCCCAACTCTAAAACATATCAGGTTCTTTTGTTCAGTATAAACTTATAGGATTTTTCCATAGTGTTTTTCTTCACCCCAGATGAAAAAGGACATAAGAAAGAGAGTGTTACCCTGGTCACAGCGGATTCCTTTGTATCCCGGGCTGCAGTAGCATGTTCCAGTCACATAGTCGCAGGTGGCGTTGTTCATACATTCACACAGCTGCTGACAGCCATAGCCAAACGTCCCAGGAGGACACTCTTTATAAAAACACATACACCAACACAATTAGCCAAACACCCCGGGCCAACAGCGTGTAAAACAAACACTCAGACACATGTTGTGATCGACTGCCTGGGATGGTGGATGAGGAACACAGTCACACACACACAGATCATCAATCACCATCATCATCATCATCAGGGCTGCTAAACGTCTCTTTCGAATTGACATTCTCACAACCCCCTAAGACAAGAACACACGCACTCTTAAAGAGGCTACAACACTCACTCTGTTCACAGTTGGTCCCAATAAAGCCAGTCCGACAGGCACATTGGCCAGTGATATGATCACAGTCAGCTCCATTTTGACAGCGGCACACCTCTGCACAGTCTCGCCCATAAAACCCTGAGGGACAGCCTGAAGGAAAGAGATATCCTGCTACATCACATTAACCTACAACACACAGTTGGTGTACGCTGATGGTGCCAGCAACAGGAACCCAGAGTGAAAGAGAAGCCCCGACATTCGAATTCCACAAATGACCAAAATTTGTTATTATAACATGTACCTAATTGAATTATATTAGCATGACAGTGTTTCCCTATTCACGACGGCCTCGTACACTAATAGCAATTCATAGACAAACACATGTACAGTACATAAACACACAAACACGCAAAGACAGTCTGGCCACTAAAGATAACAAGCCTACTGGAGCAAACATTGCAGCAAAACACAAACTGATTTCATCACTCCTCAAGAAAGAGTTTATATCACTGCCGTCATAAAAAAAAGTTTCAAACAGAGTGGCAGCAGAGGAGGGATCAAGAAATGATTGACGTAATGAATGAGAGATGGATTCTGTTTTTTTGCAGGCGTGATGTTGATGGTTTTTGATTTCAGCCTTGAGCAAGGTCATATAATGAGTCAAATGACTGATGTGAAAAAACGTGCATTTATTATTAAGGACCACTCAGTGGCATCATAACATCATGAGATTTCATAACTCCCTGGTGCAGTTCTGAAATACTGCCAACAGATGTCACTGTGTCACTTTATGTTCATTACGTGTGCGGGAGAGAGTGTTTGCATGTGTATAATAGTGGCTTGTTTGTATTAAATAATAACTGTGAATGTGTGTGTACTTGTGTGTGAGAGAGACTCACGCTGCGTGCAGTAGAGGCCGGTCCAGCCCAGGCTGCACCTGCACTCTCCGTCGTAGGCACTACATTGGGCTCCGTTGTGACAGTTACATGAGTTCAAGCAGTCAGGGCCCCACTGGCCTATGGGACAAACTGCGGAGCCAGAGACATGTCAAATGAAGACTAAGAAACATGTGTAAAACACGCGTCTAAACGCACATTTACAGGCCCCTAATTTACATAACGTATACAAAATGATGCATTTGATGTAAAATTTGCATGTTTTGCAAATAAAATGTGGTAGAGCGAAGATAAAGAGGAAATCACACTGAAATGAGGGCCATAGCTACAGTATAAGCTGAAATTGTCACTGTTGGGAATTAATAATTGAAATCCCTCAGCCAGTCCTCACCCCTTCACTTACAGCAAACAGTGTTAGATTAACAGCCTGAGAGGGGAGGGGGGGGCGCGAGGGTGAGCGATAAATTCTCCGGGACATTGTTGCTCTCGTCTCTATTTCATATTGCCGCTCTCTTGCGCTGTGTAAATTATTGAGAGTGTGCTATCAAGTAATTTATTGAAGAAAGAAATTGTTGGTCTTGTGGGGTATTTGGAAAAGAAAAATGGACGTGGTCATGATTTACGTGGCACTATGCCATGAGACGTCCATGAAAGACAAATGGATGAAAATGGATGGGAAAGAGCAGTAGGATAAAACACTAAGAGTGGGACAAATAAAAGAAGGTGGAACTGCAAATGCAAACAAAGAAAAGGACAAATTGGTTCGTACTCTGTGAACAGTCGTCTCCAGTCCAGCCTGGGAAACATTGGCAAGAGCCGTCAATGGGGTTGCAGGTGCCATTGTTAGTGCACACGCAGATCTCAGCACAGGCTTTCCCGTATTTGCCACTGGGACACACTGACGGGACAAAAACAGACATAACACAGACACAAACACAACACTTAAACCCGTGAGTCATTCATTCAATGGTAATCACAGCATATCTGGAGGATGCTAACAATGATTTTACTCCTCCGAACACTGATCTTAGTTCACAATAATGTTATTGTGTTTTCGAGTTAAATATTTGCATTCAAATTACATATCCTTCTGAAATAGCTTTTGCTTTCAGTGAAATGAAGGTGAAGTGAAGACCCAGCAGCGGCACTAAACAATTTAAGATTGAAATTATGAAAAATAATATTATTTCCCAAACTCTAATAACTCTAAGCCCCACCCCATCAACCATTCTTTTGAAAAGACAAAATGCTCTTATATTCACCAAGGCTGCATTTATTTGATTAAAAATCCAGTACAAAACAGTAATATTATGAAATATTATTACAATTTAAAATAACAGTTTTTTTTATTTTAATGTATTTCAAAATCTATTTAATATATTTTTTTTGTCATTTATTCCTGATGGCAAAGCTGAATTTTCAGCAGTCATTGCTCCAGTTTTTAGTGTCACCTAATTTACAGATTTGGTGTTTAAGAAACATTTTTTATTATGATCAATGTTAAAAATGGTTGGACTACTTAATATTTTTGTGGAATTGTGGAAAAACAGAAATTCATAGAAAATCTTATGTAACATTATAAATGTATTTACTGTCACTTTTGATCAATTTAATGCATCTTTATTGAAGTATTAATTTTTTTCAAAAAAAAAACAAAAAAACGTATTGACCTCAAACTTTTGAAATGTTGATTCAGCGATGTTAAATAATATTTCTGACATAAACTCATTCAGATGTTACCACATGAAGGATTTTTAGGTTAAGGTAATTATAGTGTCTCAATTAAACTTTACTGCAACATCTTTCAATTCACCTTTAAAACTTTTCAAAGATCATAATGCGTCATTGTAAGTTCTATAATAGTTCTGCATGAGTAGTAACTGATGATAAACCAGAGTGACACGTGCAGGAGTGATTGTAAGTCATGTCTGCGTGCACTTCAAAGCTGAATCACCCATCAAACATGTGCTTCTGTCACACTGTCCAATTATCCATCTTTGCCAGCTTCGCTCGGCACCATCAAGAATAGGGTCGACTGATGTACTATGAAATTAAAAATAGAGCTTGTGTACATTTTTAATAAAATGAATATTTCACCACGCTCTGACACTTGCCTCAATTAGAAATTTCAGTTTAGTTTAAAGCCCATCATGTTTTTCACCCCTCTCTCTCCTCTAGTTTCGGTGAGTTCACAGCAAGGTACATACAATGGGATGCGTTGGGATGGGATGTCTTCAGCTTCTCATGAGAGTTGAAATACGGCCACACAACAGAGTCAGATGTTGCAATCAGACAGTTCGTCCACTGAGGTGAAGCTGAAGCTAAATCTTTGTGCCACTGGCTTTTAATAATTATATTTCCACACTCTTCTCATTTTGTGGAAACTCTTTCAACTAACTCAAAGCTTCCTCTTATTAGTTAGTGGCCCCCAAATGTCACGAGCTCCGTTTCATTCCAACTGTGACTAGCTGAAGTTCATTAGCTCGTTCTGAGACGGGTGAACGTGGGCTCAAGACATCGGAGGACACCGGCATAGACCAAACTACAAAAAAGTAGGTATGTGGGCTAGCCACGATCCCCCCGAGGCCTGCCTTTCTTCCAGTAATTATGATCTGGACAAATTAAAACAAGCCTTTTCTCGAACCTTTTCCTTCTTTTGCTTTAACATATTAAATATTTATTCACAAGACGGCTCTGAAAGCAATGAAAGTGAATTCTATATATTCATACGGCCTTTCCTTAATTCATGAAAAGACTGGTTAATTATTATGAGATGGTCTATCTATATTTCATCTGGACGTCTCAGTTGGGTGCTGTGGAGTGGGAAGTGAGTGTTAGGGTTTATTAGTTTGAGTTGAAAATCTGCCTCATTGACTTGAAACTTCACTCAGAATCTGTATATAACAGTCAACATAGAGTGAATATTTACAGCGCTCTCTTCGGACAGAGGAGCTTCATTTGAAAAACTTTAAAAAAGTGAAAATCACAGTAGAGAAACGACCCCTTAAAAAAAGTATATGCAGGGTTTATTCTGGTCAAACCCTACTGGTAGAAAGTCATAACAATGACATTTTCATTGCATCGTTCTCCATTGACAGCCATTCAAAAGTTGCCACGCTTTCTGACGAAATAAATTTGTTTTTCAAGCAACATATATGCAGATATGTCATGATATTACAGTAGATGTTTTGCCATCAGCCAGAGATGGCAGATTTCAAACTGCGCACTTCTCAGGGAGGGGGTTATCCATATGCAGCACAGCTGAACGGGAATGATGAATGGGAATGTTAACGGATAGCTCTCTCCAGGTATTATAGACCTCCTAGACGTAAATCTTGAAGCATGAAGTATATTAGAGGAAATTAACAAATTATTCTCTCTACGCTGTCTCTGGTTTTCCACAGGAGCTCAACAAAAATGGAAAGCGGTGATATCGACCTGACTCTTCAGTGTTTGTCTCGCTCAGAAGAATGAGCTCAGCAATATTCAGATTTCCTCTGAAGGTTATTTGTCAGAGTGTCAGTGATAATGCCAATTATTTTCAGTACGGCGGAGCAGCAGAGTCAGCGTGGCGTTCTGCAGATGGGCATGTTGCCAATGGCAGAGCGCACACACACAGAATGGCATAACATGCCATGCGGGTCGAGTACAGCTCATTTCAGTGACAGGTAGGTTGAGAGGGGTAAACTGCTATTTATGTGCATCATTTATGTATATAATCTCCAACTGAACCGCAATATCGTCATTACATACCAATCAAAATGCATGCCAACAATAAATGACAGCGTCTATCCATTTGTGCTTCCTAAAGAGTGCACAATCCAGCCGCATAATTTCATCTACATAACAATCGATTCTGGTTCACTCTGGTTCATCAGCAGGGGAAGTAGCAACTAGAAGAAAATACCTTTGATGTCATTACAGTTTGTGTGAATTGCTTCCAGAAGAGTCACCTGCTTATATGGGTCTGAATCATGCATTTTTTAAAATGTGAGGAAAAAATCTTCAGCTAGATTTTCTCTGCCAAAACTTTCACTGGCCCTACCACAAAAATGATAATAAATGATTTTATTATAAGCAATGCATTTTTATAGACATTTTAAACGTACCAGTAAATGTTTTATTGTAATGATACCGATAATTTAAAAAAAGTAGAGTTTAGAAATTTACACAAAAATAATACTAAAATTAGTATTATTATTTTTTCAAACAAAGATACATATATATACAGCTATAAGTAAAACTCCACAACAACTATAATTCATTAACGCACTGTTGCTGCAAAACAATAACTAGTTTGTAACTTGACTTTTTCCTGATTTCTCCAAGACTATAACTATAAGTCATTCTCACAATATCGACAAAACTTGTGTTAATCTATGTCAGCCAGTTAGACAATGTTACACTGGTGACAAGTTTAAACCAGCAGAATTTGCAACAACACTGTTCAATACCCAAAAAAGTTTTCAAGGCATTATAATTATTGACAGCAACATTTTCATCAGCTGGCCAGAAACATTTTCACATTGGCCCCTGAGAGTTGTGCAAAAAGCAAAAATGTCCACCAGAACTCCAAATTGTGTGTTAGCAACAAGAATGTGTCAACAGTTTTGCAGAAACGGCGTATTTCTGACACATTATCATGAGAAATAGATGCCTTAGTGTATTGATTCAGTCATAGTTTGTTTTCAATTGAAAAATACTGTAATTATAGTAAAGCTAGTTCGACAGTGATGTGACCGTACCTCTCCCCAATGCACAACTAGCCTCCAAGGATCTGTAGTGAGGTCCGTGGGTGAGAAGGAGAGAAAAATAGAGAGAGAAAGTAGAGAAACAGAGGGAGAGGAACGAGAGCTACTTGCCTTGGTTGCAAAGCGAGCTGAAGAAGCCGGCGAGGCACTCACAGTGACCCGTGAAGTGGTGGCACGGCCCTGTGCTGTGCACACACTGTGGGCATGACTGGCTGCAGCGGTGCCCGTAGAAACCAGGAGGGCAAACTGTCACGGGGCAAAGGACAGCAAGGGGAGGAGAGGAACAAAACAGAAAGAACAACAGATTTGGAAGGAAAGATAAAGTGGGAAAGCAAGTAACGACAAATTAGAGATTAGACACTTAATAAATGGAAAATATGAGTTACAAAAATATTGTACAAAGCAGTTCACATTCGTACATAACATTTAGAAACATCAATATTTTTGTCCTGTTATTCAGTAAAATAAAATCTTATGTACTCTACCATTCAAAACAAGTTTTGGGTCAGTATTTTTGTTTAATAAATAGTAAATTACTATATGTGACCCTGGACCACAAAACCAGTCGCACGGATATATTTGTAGCAATAGCCAACAATACTTTGTATGGGTCAAAATGATCAATTTTTCTTTTATGCCAAAAATCATTAGGATATTAAGTAAAGATCATGTTCCATGAAGATATTTTGTAAATTTCCTAACGTAAATACATCAAAACTTAATTTATGATTATGAATATTCATTGCTAAGAACTTCATTTGGACAACTTTAAAGGTGATTTTCTCAAAATTTAGATTTTTTTGCACCCTCAGATTCCAGATTTTCAAATAGTTGTATCTCAGCCAAATATTGCCCTATCCTAAAAAACCATACATCAATGGAAAGCTTATTTTTAATATATATACATATACATATACATATACATATATATATATATATATATATAATCTCAATTGTTGAGATCTCAATTTCAAACTGACCCTTATGACCCTATGGTTTTGTGGTCCAGGGTCACATATGCTTTTATTCAGCAAGAAGGCATTAAACTTTGTAACAGTAGTTAATGCTACAAAAGATTTCAAATTCATCTTTTCATCACAGGAATAAATACATTTTTTAAACATATTAAAATAGAAAGCTGTTATTTTCAGTTCTAATAATATTTAACAATATTACTCTTTTTACTTTATTTTTGATCAAATAAATGCAGCCTTGATGAGCATAAGAAAATCTTACTGACCTCAAAGTTTTGAATGGCAGTGTATAGAAATATACTTTAGCACTTCATTTAACAGTTCTGAAACATTTCAGTAATGTTACAATCTATGGCCACTTGAGGTCTGAAACATTCTTCCAGGTACTAGCGTTTAACCCTAAACCACGGAGCCACTGTCACCTGTACAACTAATATAGTCAGAAATAATGAGGGGGTTTCGTCGTCCTCATGGTCAGGCTCATTGTTTCACAGAGCATGAGGTCTCAGTCTGTCTCTGTCACTCAGCTCTGTCCGAGACGGGAGCTTCTGTGGGTCATTTTTCTTCATTAGAGTCTTGATTCGATTTAATTGCTGTAGCTTTGTGTAATGCAGGAGAGTAGTGTGTGCTGACCTTTCCACCATGGGTGGTGGGCCTTTGTAATTAAGATAATTGTACAACAACGAACAGTGTGGTGAAGATTAATCGCATTCCCTTTCCTTTCTCGCTGCAATCATTGAACACACACTTGCATACACATCTCCTTACTGGGTGAATCTCAAGACACATGTCTGGATCATTTTTCACCCCAAAATCAAGAGACATAAATAATAAATTAGATTCTACTTTCAATGTAACATGAAAACAAAATAATAATATATAAAATTTTAACTGAATTTAGCAACCTAGAAGTATTAATTGTATATATACATCATGTTAGTACATATTGTACTGCCTTTAATTTATGCAGTTTTTATTTAAAAAACATTGTATTCCAGTGTTTCTTTTAACTTTACGGATTATTCCAGTTTTTAGTTTTTATTTTATTATTATTAGTATTAGTATTTTTAGCTGTAATAAAGTAAAACGTACTATTAAAATAAGAATGGGAATATAATGAGATTCAATGACAATGCTAGAACATTACAGAAAAAAAATCTGAAAAGTAAAACTAAAATGTTAGGTAAAATATATTTACAAATTTTATTTATTAAAAATGTATTCAATGAAAACAGACAGAACAACAGAATGACAGATAGATAGCAAGATGCTGAAAATTCAGCTTTGATCACATCAATAAATTACATTGTAATATATTTTCAAATAGAAAGCCGTTACTTTAAATAGAAAAAATATTTCACAATATTATTGCTTTTGCGGTATACACACACACACACACACACACACACACACATACACACACACATCGTATACATTAACAGAATAAACAAGTATATTTATTTGTAATATGAACTATTAATCTATTTATTGAATGCCTGTTGTTTATTTTTTTTATATCATTGTAACTTTGCTTTCCATACACTTCAAGTGCTTCTTCATATGCCACAGCAAAAACTATAGTCTGAGAAAGTTCAAACATGATTAAAGGCAAGTGAACAGTTAGTAAAAAAAAAAAGAAAGAAAAATAAATACACAATTTACAAGCATAGATAACATAAACAGTAGTATTCAGGTACAGAAATGTAATAATTAAGTGTAAAATAACACTGCATAGTGTTCACTGTATGAATTAAATTTAGATTAATCTTTGTTATAGCTGTTTTGTTGTTTGATTAACATTAGTTGCATATTCAGCAGCACGTATTTATAGGCTGCTGTCCCTTTAAAACCGACTGCACGGATCCAGTATAATGATACACATCCGATTTCTTTCTCAGCTGTTTACATTCATTTAAAACATAACCGACTGCGTTTACGAGAATGATCGTCGAGACGGGTACTATTGACATAATTCTGTGTGTATGTGTCTGTTCAAACATAAGGAGGAGATGCGAAAGACGAACGTGTTCGCGCGCCGTCTGAAACGCGTCTCTCTCTCTCTGTGTGTGTGTGTGTGTGTGTGTGCGCGCGCGAGCTTTGCACGTGTGAGGCAGAACTGAAGAGACGCTGCGCGAGATGCGGCTTGTGCACGCGCTTTAGGTGTGAGTCTGTCAGACAGCAAGACGAGACTTAATTCTTTTTAACGTCAAGCAATTCTCTGCTATGTTCGTCGAACTAAAACTTTGACCTTTTGCAACGTTTTGATTTAAGTAGCCTATTATTAAAATGATTCAGATATCGCACGCCCTTGCGATATGCATATTGCGATGTTTACATTTGCGATATTTCGATATATCGTGCAGCCCTAATAGATACCCTAACCTGGACATCTTTTTAAATGGTCACCTGTCTCCTGCCATATTACTGGCTTTACCATATACAGACTATATTTGATCCTTGAAAATGACCAGCAATCAGTCAGCTTATCTGTTGAGGGCACAGTGTGGTAAAGAGAAACAGCAAGAGCAAATCAGTGTTTTAAGAAGCAGACCCTTGAGAGGCTGAGTAAACACTTCTCCTCATGGAGAGGCTGATGAGAGCCCCACATGGACACGGCATCTCTACAGAGATCCAGGCCTGAAGTGATTAAGATTTGTGTGATTAAAGATTTGCTCGCACTTCATGACTCTTCACTAAGTGCTTCCCTCTTCAACTGTCCCCACTCCACACCCAGAGGGTCACCGTCTGGATGTAACAGTCGTGACCCCCTCTCATCCCACCAGTTGTTTATCGTCTTCGGTTGAAGTGTGTTCAAATAAACCACTTATGTGACAGGCTTCGAGAAGGTGACATTGTGTTAAAAGTGTCACTGGAAGGAGAAAGAAAGTTGACAGGAAGCTTACTTTTCTTGCAGGAAGTCCCGCGGTAGCCAGGAGCGCACACGCAGGTTCCGTCTTCAGGAGAGCAGGAGCCTCCGTTCTGGCATGAGCAGGTCATGGAGCAGTTAGGCCCCCAGAAGCCTTGAGGGCAGATGCCGTCACAGTGGATGCCTGTTAAAACAAATGAGGGAAGTATCACTGCATGTTCTCCATGTGCTTCCATATTTACTATTATAGCAGAAAACAGAAGTGGGAATACATGCAGGAAAGCAAAACAAACAAAAGCAAAATAAATCAGAAAAGAGACATGTGCGATGGGGGATGCCTGAACCTTAAGGGCACTGCTTTTATAGTAAGCTAGTATCATATTTTCTATTGGGACAGCAACAGAGTACCAAGCAGGCTTCTCTGAAAGCACAAGTGCTGGTTTCAAAAGCGTGGTGTGTGTGTAGGTTCATGCATCTCTTGGCCGCAGCACTGGGCCACTCTGTGCTGTGCTCTGTATGTATTTTTGATCAGACTGGGCCCCCCTGCCAGTGCAGAGTGTTCATTAACAGGGCCAAGTCCCTCGGGTGGTTGAGCCTCCTCTCCCATTCTCTTTCAGCTGGTTTGTGTGTAGAGTTCCACTAGGGACACGCTCAAGTACGCACACTCAAATATATAAAGAAGAGACCTACTATATTGTTTCGAAGTGTTGTAATGTAATGACATTAGCTGGTCATGCTGGGGTTACAACAAAAACAGGAAAACAACAAGGCACATGGACACACATTCTCATAAACAAGCTTACAACGGAACCAGCACAGCAGACAAACAGCTAAATGCTACTGTAAATATATACTATAAAACAGATAATAATGATGCAATGAATCTTTGCTATGCACCTATGCTATATAAACTGTTGTTTTCTTTTTTGGGGGAGATTCCATGCGATTGGTATGAGGTCCTCCTGGCCATGATTAAAGCTTATTCAAGGCATTGTCTGGAGTCTGTCTGGTTACTGCTGCGCAGCAGTTGTAGTGGAACACTAGAGATCTTAGTCCCAAGTGATAGTTCATAGGGGGTGAGACATCGTCTGACTAAGAGTGAGACTCTCTTAGGAGTCAGGTAGCTGTAATTCTTAACTGATCTGTCTTAGGCCTGGTTCTACAGTGCAGTCAGAGCTATCATGATTAGCTGTCAGAAAAGTCACCCGAGGATAATTTTTGATGTCAGGAGACACCCGATTTAACTTAAATCAGGTGCGTAGGGGAATTTCTACCACAATTCTGATTATTGATATTATTAACATAAACATAAATTGTATATTTATCTATATCTATATTCACTGCTGTTAAATGATTAATCACGATTAATATATATATATATATATATATATATATTATGTCAAACGATGTGGCTGCTGTCATCAATTTAAAAAAAGCCATTAGTCATTTGGGGCAATGAACTACAGTGAACTGACCACAGTTTCACCATTCAAAGTACAGCATTTATCTTTGGTAAAATCAGTGTAATGCTCATCCTCGAGTGGCTTGTTGCTTTAATAATACAACTTAAATAAATTAGCATCTATATATTTCACACTCCATAAGCAAGATGGCATAGAAGGGAGAAATGATGTGCACACACACACACACACACACACACACACACATACACACACACACACACACATCCTTTCAAGCTGCAGCTCAGGAACCTCATTTACAATTTCCTTTGACAGAGACTTTCTGAGCGAGTGGCACGGCCCATTAAAACGGCATTAGTCCCAGGGCTTTGAATTAGACCGGGTCTAAACTTCAGGGACAGGCATCATACCTGCTTCACCTCTGTGGCAGAACAGAGAAGTGGTTGGATGGAGAGGCAACGGGGATGTGCAGTTAAGACAAGCCCAGCCACCGCACATCAAAGGAGGGGCAAGCCTGTTTGAGCTTCTGCTGGGCTGGGCAGAAAAAAAGTCCTGCACTTCCTTTATTGTCAGCAATGAATGAGAATAGAAGAGTGCCCTGAAAGCCTAATGGTGACAAACAGAGGGGCTTTTGAGCAGAGCGAGGGAGAAGAAAGAGGAGAAGTGACTCTCTGCATATGAGACTTTTCAAGAAGAGAACTGCCAGGGGGACCGGCAGCCAATTAATGAGTGAAGAGCAAGTACCATCATATACATCACTTTCCACCACACTTTACATGTTAAGTGGACACACGGGCGCACATGCCTGCACACGTAATGCAAAGGTTTCTGCAGGACACTCTGTGTTATACCCACGATCCTCCAGTCTAGAGCCCCTGGAGCACCTAATATCGCACGTCCACATTTCTTTGCTTTCTCACTCTATCTCTCTCTCAGTTATTTTGTCTCTTTCTCTTCCTCCCTCCATTAGACGCACACACAGTTTTATTGAAAGTGACCATTTAATTCCCGTCTCACACATCCCTCTCTTTCTCTCTTTTGATAAAACACACTCTCAGCTTGTCTGTCCTTGGGCATATCTTTCTGTATGCTGTACTCCTCCATTCTTTAGTAATTCTTTTTATTTTTATCACAAAAATCTTCCAACTGCTGCTCTTCAAAGAAAGTCCATTTACTTTCTTACCTTAATGAGTTCATAATAAATATATTTTATTTGTGATAATTTATTTGTTGTTTTTTATTACTACTTTTTCACAACCATTTTCCACACTATCTCTGGCCCTTAGAATTAAATGGATTTTTTTTATTATCATTTTTTTTGCTGCTGTACTATTAAGCCTTCAATGTATATGCTTTTGTAATTATTAAATATTTTTTATATAATTCTTTGGCCAATTTCCATGACCTTTCCAGTTTGTGATTACTGGATAAGGATTTGTGAAAATCATTTTGGTTCATATGATTCACTTATGAATCGTTCTATTTGTTTAATGAATTAATGAAAAGAACGGAATCAAAGGAACATTTTTTTTTATTATTATGGCTTGCAAGTTTTACTGTACACAAAAGCCATATATAGCCAATGAATATATATACATATACACACATACATATATATAAACTTTCTAAATAAAAATATAAAATTAAAAATTAATTATTGCTCCTCAATTTCTTTAAATGGTCTTTTGGGACTGGGAGGAAGTGTTGAGCGATACAGTTGCAGGGCTTTATAGTTATAGTCTTTATAGTACAAACTCTTATTTCAGAAGATCAATTCAAATTTGATATGACCTATTTAAATGAGCAACCTCAAAAACATGACTCCACGTGAGATTCCTTATCATACATTCTGCAATCTCTCTCTCTCACCATCTCATGTGTAGCTCATTCTCTTAAAGTCTTAGACCTGACGCTATCTTCTCACATATGCACTATGTACGTCTAGCTCTGTCTCTCTCTCTCTCTCGATAGCTTCCATAAATCACTGCTCTGCATAGTCTCTTTGTTCAGATGCTCGCAGTCTCTGAGGCCTATTTGCACCCTGGTGACTCCATTAGGCCTGGCAGATGGCGGAGACCTGGGCAGGATGCAGAGTGTGAGATTTCTGCGTAGCTGGCTCCTTCTTGCAGATAATGAAAGCCACATCATTTCCCAGTACACATGGTCAGAATTCGGAGACCTGAATGGAGAGAGTTATGGAGGGCCTGCAGGCAAAGCCACATCTAGCATCTCAACCTGCTCCCTTACGCTTCTCGTATAACATGTTCACATGCTGAAGAACTTACACACACAGCCCTTCTATGATATTCAAACATGTCCACTGCCTCTCATATCTCTTTCTTGGACACACAGTGCTGAGACCGCTGCAACAGAAGGTGTAAGCGCAGTGTGAAAGCCATATATGCAAACCGCAGAACGATTGCTTCATTCTGGGTCAGTGCAATCTAATTAGGTAACATGTTCAGCAACAGTTAAATGCTTCATGCTTTTGGAGATCTCATATTAATCTGCCTGCAGGCTGTGTGTCCTATGATAACATCTTTTGGAGGCATGGTGGTCCTGTGTAGAATAATCTGAACAATATACACACATATGTAGAATCAGTTTAATTTAACATACAACATTAGCAGGAGCTGAAAAAAAAATGTGCGATTGCTATGCTATTGAAATAAAATGGGATTTCGTGCTTTCATAATTATATTTCAGAAAAAAATCATGATTTTTCCCTCAAGATGAAGGCAGATGAAAGATGAATACTTTCATGATTACAAAGAAAACACTGATTTTATTATTTCTGGATTACTTTAAAAATTAACACTGCAATATTTTATTGGAAAATCTATTACATTCTAACAATAAACTATAGCAGATGCTTCGGGGTGGATATTATATATTATATTTGTGTCATGAAGACACATTGTGGTATCTCGAGAGACCTCAATATCTTCAAAATTCTGCCAGCTGACTCTTATAATTATTAGCAGCAGTATTACTACTAGTAGTAAGTCAGTTTCACACAGCTAGAGCAAGCAGCGCTGCAGCGTAACTGTATTAACAGCAGGGTATCATTGTACTTTCACACTGACAGTGTTTCTGCAGCGTAACAGAGCTGCAGCTCTATACAGAATATAAAGTCATTTCTGGATAACCACATTGAGTATTCCTATAACAATTGGCCAAAACATAAAATGGGCTATCCATAATTTGTACTTGATCATCTTGAAAACTTCATCCTCAAGAAATCAAAGCGTAGCTATGAACTATACTAGGTTCTACACTAGTGTTCAGATGTTTGGGGATGGTAATATTTTTAAAGGTTTGAAATAATTATCTCATGCTAACCAAGCCTGCATTAATTGAATAAAAAAAACAGTAAAAATTGTGAAATATTATTAAAATTTAAAATAACAGTTTTCTAATTTAATATATTTTAAAATATAATATATTCCTGTCATGGCAAAGCTGAATTCTCAGCAGTCATTGCTCCAGTCTTCAGTGTCACGTGATCCTATAATATGATGATTTGGTGCTTAAGAAACATTTCTTATTATTATGAAACAATGCTAAAAACAGATATGCTGCAAAATATTTTTTTGGAAACTGATATACATTTTTTTATGATTCTTTGATGAATAGAAAGTTCATTGTGGATAGACTTTACTGTCACTTTTCATAAATGTAATGTGTCCTATGTGCCTGTCACTGCATGTTTAAATCACATCAATTCTTCTTTCAACAATGAGTGAGTAATTCACTCCAGCATCTATGTTGCTTCATAAAACCCTATTTTAACATGTCGATGTGATTATGTCACTGGTCTTACACTCACCTGTCCATCCCGGCAAACAGCGACAGAATCCACTCACAGGGTCGCATCCATCAGCGTGGTTACAGTCGCAACGCTCACGACACTCCAGCCCATATGTGCCATCCTGAATAACCACACACACAAACCATCTTGCTAAGCTTAAACTGCCCTGTCATGACAAATATTTATAAATCAAACGGCCAATCCTGCTAGCCTCTGGCAGAGAGACAATGGAACCGGTCCCGGGAAGATACTCACGGGGCAGGGCTGCTGGCAGCGTTCCCCTCTCCAGCCCGAGGTACAGGTACAGGAGCCGTCAATTGGGTCACAAGCCGCACCATTGGCACACAAACAAGTCTGGTTACAGCCCAATCCCCAAGTCCCGCTGGAGCACAGAATTGAGCAGCCTACACCCTGCCAACCTGTAAAGCAAAGGGAGACGGTACAGACATTCGTTAATTTATTTGTCTACTCCACCATTGGCTCCTTCAGTTGTTTATTTGCTAAAAACCGAGGGTTTAACATTCTCTTTTTGAGTTCTAGCCAAAGCTTCTCTAGTTTATTATAACAGTGTTCAATTAATAGAGCGGGAAGAGGGGGAAGTGAGGTCACATCTTGACAGAAGCCAGAGGATTCTTGTCTCCCTCGGCTCACGTCAATGAGTTGAATATATGCATGGTTTGAGGTCAACATAAGAGCAGAGTGGGATAGGCAGAGACGTTGTGTAGCACACTGGGGTTCTGCATTATGAATGGGATGAGGATTTTAAAGGTACTGTCTCTAATGAGCTTCCTTCCAAACTGGAGGGACCTGAACAAATACTCTGCTGGTGCAGGCCTTTAAGGACATGTCCATGTTTATGCAACAATAGGTACGGTTAGCTGCGGTCAGCCAAACGCTGAGCACTCACAGGGCTCTTGTGGATTCACACTGCATTTTTTATGCTATTACAGCCTAAAAAGGCCATATGTGCATGTAAGTGCTAAGTGGTTATGTATCCTTTGAAAGTGACCTGGAGAGACTTTGGATCCTTTGATATTGAAACACCTTTTTTTCCGTAATGACAGAGATGGATATATAGAGAACGGATGGGGATATTATTTACTTTTTTTTTTTGATGTCTAATGTCCGGAAAGTGTTTTTGGAGTATAACCGGATTGTCAGGCATTCCTAATTTTTATTTATAGACAGGGTTAATTCTCTAAACATTGACATCTGTTTGAAAGGGAATTAGAAAATGATTAATTAGTCCCAGAGTAATTGAACGTAAAGATTATGACTTTTCCTTAGCATCTGATTGCATGTATTGATTGCTTATTGATTTATTTGTACAGGTCAAGCTATAATCTTGTTATTAGGTTGGTTGTAAACCCATAGTCTCTCATGGCTTTCTCTCTATTCATGTCTATAAGAAAAATGAGGGAATAAGGATAAAAGGAAGATAAAGTAGAGCACATTATGCTGTACCTTCTTTACAGATGCAGGAGCCATCGATTGGTGAGCAGGATGCCTGGTTGTGGCAGTGGCAGGTGGAAGTGCAGTTAGTACCGTATAGTCCACGTGGGCAGGTGTGGGAACAGTCGTCGCCCTGAAAAACACACAGAGATGAACTGTTCAAGAAATATATATTAAGCAAATTTTGCCCTGGCAACTACCTACAACAATGTATCAACTGCACAGTAATTTGTGGAACCACCCAGAACATTTTAGCCAGTGTTAGGGAGTAACTTACATGTAATGGCATTTCGTTATTAAATTACAAAATAAGATTACACTTTATTTTAAGTCGTGTTCTTGTTACAGTGTAATTATACATTTAGGTACTAAGTAATATTAATTAACTACATGTACTTACTATATGGTTAGGATTAGGGTTACTTCCATGTAATTATGCATAATTGTAAATATAGTAGTACATGTAATGTGTAACAAGGTCACCTTAAAATAAAGTGTTACCCAAAATAAATGTAACTGTAATCAGTTACAGTTACAGTTACTGAGAAAAAATGTGTAATTAAATTACAATTACTTATGAAAATGTTAACGATCACAGAGGGGGTTACATCTGAATTTTTTCCCACATACACACTTTCTTTCCCAAATTGAGATACCAATGTTTCAGCAGTTTAGGACACAGAATTTTTTTAATTTCCTGTTTGGATTTATGTATATGATTTATTTCAAGGTTAACTGTTTTTTTTTTTAAGTAGGGTGACTTGTAATCTGTAACCTGTTACATTTCCAAAGGAACCTTCCCAACACTGATTTTAACAACTATATAGCTACACCCTGGCAACCACCCATGATAGCCTAGCAATAGAATACAAATGTGAAAAAAACACTCAGAACACTCCAGCAGCCATATAATAATGTGCTAAACCACCTAGAACTTAGGGCTGTGCAATTAATCAAAATAAATTTTCGATTTCGATTTCAGCCTCCCAACGATTATGAAAATACAGTAATCGAGATAAAACGATTATTGCGCCCCATTCCGCCCCCTTTCCAGCGGTGCTCTTTCGTTCCTCCATAAAAGCCCAATTTCACGTGCAAATCAGTAAAATCATGTAACGAGACTTTTGCAAAACGGGACGTGCTTGCTTTATTTAAGTTGATTCGATTTATTTATGTTTTTAAAAGCGTGAAAGAACTTGCGCTTCCTCGGGAAGATTACTGTGTATGCGCTCAGAGATGGAACACAACACGGACATGTAAAGTCATCTTTTAGCGCCTAAACGGTCAAATTCACACAAAAATGTGCCAAAATGTGGTGCTTAGTGATTATTCACGTAAACCCTTGTCGGTTATGTAATAAATTAATGTAAAGAGTTGAGAATGAAAATACTTGTGTAACAATAAATTGGATCCGTGCGGCTCTTAAAGTGACAGCGGGCTATATTCCTGCTGCCGACTGTGTGCTTAAAGGGGTCATATGATGCAATTTAAATTTTTCCCTTCTCTTTGGAGTGTTACAAGCTCTTGGTGCATAAAGAAGATCTGTAAAGTTGCAAAGACTAAAGTCTCAAATCCAAAGAGATATTCTTTATAAAAGTTAAGAGTCAACCACGCCTACCTAAAACAGCTCGTTCTAACACGCCCCCACATGTCTACGTCAC